AGGCAGGACTCAAACTCTCGCTCCGCCTCCTATTTTCCATATTTAAAAATGAATACTCTTTTTATTTACCAAAGATACTTGAGGTCACTTTACATAAAAGACACTTATCTTTGCAGCTTATTAAACCAAAGGGGAAAGCCACAGTAAACACATACACACTTCGTGTTAGCTCCTACATTAAGCATTAAATACAGTTCTAGGTTATTCCGTAAACAAAATGAACAGAGAGAGAACCGTCAAGAGTTCAGCGGTTCCCTTGGTCACACAGGAAAGTGTAACAGTGAAGTCAGCTCCCAACGGAGGCGACCTGCTTGAACGACCTGTTTCACAGACGTTGAACACAGTTTATCACTCCATAGCCATAGGAAGACTCATACCTTAAAGAAATCAAAGAAACCCATCAACTTGGCTTTTCCAAGCTCTTTTTCTTTCTCTTGGAAAAAGAAATATCCTGTAATTCCTGCATCTAGCAGCTGTGGATTTTCTTTGGACAGCTGTACCAACTGCAGCCTCTCTTCCCGGCTATCTCTACCTCGGAAGAAAGCTTTCTCTGTTTTATTGATCCAGGAAGGCCCTAGAAGTTTGAGGCCATAAAAAATGATGATTAAGAATCTGAAATCATAAGACAGTACAATGACCTTTAATTCACCATTGTCATTTAAAATGTTGATACTCATCACAAACTCATTTTGTAGTATAGATGCTGTTTCCAAAATACCTGGGACTGAGCCTCAGTTTGCCAGAGATGCTTTCAGAGGCTGTCTGTCTGTCTGTTTGCGCCAGCCTCTCCTGTTTACCTCCCAACAACAGGTCACAAGGGCTGGTCACTGTGTTCAACAGTAGGAAGCAGCCCTCACAGTATCAGACCAAGCTCAAGGCAAGCAGAGGCTCTTGTGATTTGTCCCCTTCCCAAGGCCATAGCTTCTTCAATTTTTCATGTTTCATAATCACACACGAGTTAGGCTTTTGTTCTTATAAGAGGTCAGCAGAAAATTGCCTAACTAAGCAACCCCAACAGATTTTTAGTTCATATTTCTCCCTTGATTTTTATGTTATGTGTATATATATTTCATGTATGTCTGTGCACTGTGTGCATGAAGTGCCCACAGAGGCCAGAGGAGGGAGCCAGATCTCCTGGGACTGGAGTTACAGATTGTTGTGCACCAAGTGGGTGCAGGGAATTGAACCTGGGTCCTCTGGAAGAGCAGTGAGTGCTCTTAACCACTTGACCATCTCTCCAGTTTAGCTGCTCATAATTTTGAATAGAGGGAAAATATTTTTCTTTGATGCTGTTAAGTAACTATATTGCTCACTACATTCACATAGGTATATGGGGAGTTTTGGATAGGATCTCGCTATAAATCCCTGCTACTTGCTATGTACCCAGGTGGATCTCTAACTAAGGACACTCTTCCTGCCTCAGGCTTCCAAGTGCTAGGATTACAGGTATGAGACACCATGCCCAGCTCTCTCTCTCTATTTATATCTTCTCTTTTTTAAAAAAAATTAGTTCTTTTTTTTATAATTTATTTATGTGCATTGGTGTGAAGGTGTCAGATCCCTTGGAATTGGAGGTACAGACAGTTGTGAGCTGCCACGTGGGTGCTGGGAACTGAACCTGGGTCCTCTGAAAGAGGAGCCAGTGCTCTTAACCTCTGAGCCATCTCTCCAGCCCTGTCTTCTCTTTTTAAAACGGGAAATGTTTTAGAAAAGTTAATTTCAATCTCTGACAAGACCTCTTTTTGTTTGTTTGTTTGTTTTTTCAAGAGAGGGTTTCTCTATGTAGCTTTGCGCCTTTCCTGGAACTCGCTTTGTAGACCAGGCTGGCCTTGAACTCACAGTGATCCACCTGCCTCTGCCTCCCGAGTGCTGGGATTAAAGGTGTGCGCCACCACCGCAAGACCTCTTATTATTCTAAATAATAATGCCCATCAGTGTCTGGGGACATCTAAGACACAGAAATCAGAGGGGTTAAACCTTCTCAGGATACTGAGGAATTCACTGGTATCAAACTGAAAGTAGGCCAACTTTTATTACCTATGCTCCCCATCTGATTTTCATTTATCTTTTCTCTTCATGATACTTTAGACAGTTTTCACAAATCTCCGGTCTTGTCCCCTGAATAACAATAAAGACAAATAGAGGCTGGAAAGGACAAAGCCAAGTTTTTTGCAGCTCAATGAGTTGCCAAAAAGAGGTATTGTATCATAAATGGAAGGAAGGAATCATAAAAAGAGAGAAAAGATTCCAATCTGAAAGGCTCAGGAGTGCATAAAAATGAAATAAGAGAATTCCTCACAAAGTACTGGAGGATGGGTTCATAATGCCCGAATCACACCATGATCACAACCCTCTTACGTTTTTTCAGAATGTGCCCTCATTTCATCCATAAAAAGCACTGGGGTCAGAATTAAGAGACACGTTTACCAAATATACAATTATTTACGTATCTTTAATGTTTTGATTTAAAATTTCATATAAGTATAACCAAATGCAGACATGAAAAGATGTTTACCAATGACTAAACCCAAAGGAGAGACTCCATGAATATAGGCTTGGGAGTTATTTCCCCAAACTAAGTACATTTCATTTTCAAATTAGAGTCCTAAACATTCTCTTTTGGCCTAAGGGTGCTTTCCTCCCTCTTTGCTGTGCTGGAAACGGAGCTGGGGCCCCTGCACATGCTAGATCAGCGTTCTTCTTGGTTAGGAAGTAAGAAAGATTAAGCGTATACATCTACTCTTTCTGAGTTAACATTCCCTCCATCATTTTTACCCTTAAGCGTTTTCCCTGGAGAATTAACCTTAGCTCACCTGTATTTCCCTGAACAGAGAGGAGATCATTTGTGACACCCCTCATCGCTTCAAGTGTGGAATGGGTGACATCATATGTCGGAAGGATAATGTCTCTTGAATCCAAGGAGCCGCACCAGGAAATGATAGGTATAGGGCTGGGAGTGTCATTGACTTTCCGATGCTCCAAGGGCCAATCTCCAAGGTTAATATAAAATTCTAAATCTGGGAGGGTGACCTACAAAAACAAAAACAAAAACCAAAGAAACAAACAAAAACCCAAACCAAACCAAACCAAACCAAAAACCCACAAACATTAGTGCCGGAAGGTACACACTGCCCCAGTCTCTTGGCTATGTGTGTAGATGTATGGAGGACAGGGATCAGTCTGTGGTGTTTTTCCTCCAGAGCCATCTACGTTACTTTTTTGTTTGTGTTTTTGTTTTTGTTTTTGGTGGCTTTTTCTTCTCCTTTTGTTTTGTTTTGTTTTAGAAATGGTTTCTCACTGGCCTGGACCTTCCCAAGGCAGTTAAGCTGGCCGGTCTCTGAGCCTACCTTAGGGCTCCACCTCTCTCTGCTTCCTCAGCCTGGATTAGAAGCACATGCTATCACGGCTGGTCTTTTTCACACAGGCTCTGGGCAGTAGACTCAGGTCCTAATGTTGGCCCAGCATGCACTTTACCGACCCAGCCATCTCCCCAGCTGGGTCCTCTTAAGTACTTCTGATAGAGATGACCATGGGAAACAGTGGATAAGGAGAAGAGAACCTCTGGGTGAGCATAGTACATAGCAAACTCACTTAACTGGGAGCCGGCTACCTTTCTCCAAAGGTGGCATTTAAAATGGGATGTCACTGAAGTGGACGTATATGGAGAAGTGTGAACGGGTGGCTTTGTGCAGCCGCACCAGCTGCCTAAGCAACAGTCTGCAGTCAGACCCAAGCCTTTGCCCTCCGTCACCATGCCCTCTTCCAACTTCGCCCCTAGAGCCCTCCACCCTGTTTCCACATCCACGACTGACACTCTCTGTTGAGGACCTCTTGCTTGGAACGCCGCATCAGTTTCCTTCCTGGGCTTTCTGACTCCACCTCCCTCAACTTGAACCTATTGCCTATACAGCTGCCCGGATCTCTACACCCCACATTAAGGTCACGACTAAACTTACCGGAACCTTAGACTATGGAACGAGACCTATGTTGTGTCCTGGCATTCAGAGCCTCGCTCTCTTATCCTAGCTTATACTGAAGTCTCATGAGCCTGAGTGCGGGGATAACAGGCAAGAGTCACCAAGCCCACGTTAATTTGAATCTTACAGGAAAGAGCCATCTACAAAGGCACACTCCATGACACATTTCTGAGCCCTGAAATCCACTCTCACTGGTCTTTATAGTTCTAAGTATGTAACTGTTGCAACAAAAGAATTAATGATACCATTTTTGGAAATTGTTCATTTTCATACCTTTCTTGCCAGGGACAGCAAAATTTCATCTGAGAACATTTTGAAGTCTGTGTATTTCCCCAAAGATCTCCGGTGGATGTGGTTATTGATAATTGTGTAATGAACAACAGCACCCCTCTCGTCCCCAAATCTTTTGGGGACTTCCTTCAGCATCTGCTGGAGATTGATGCTGGGGAAGGAAGTAAAATCTTGTTCGATCTGTGGTTCCGTGGCTGGACAAGACAGAATTTTCTGCCAGGCCTGAGGATCCTCTTCTGGGCAGTCACAGTACTCGTGATACACGGGTCCTGGGGAGGTGATACACATACACACACAATGCCACCCTGAGTTAACAGAGAGGTTTGAGCACTGGATGACACCTTGGCAAATCTGAAAACTACGGACAGAGGTAAAACTACCTTAGACTCATGAATAGCACATCCCACTCCTGTCCGCTTTGGAGGCACCTTAGACAGACTTAGCATACAGCGCATGCTTCCTCCCAAACAAACATACTCCAGTCACTTTGCTTCTAGTGAGGTATAAGTAATTAATTTACAACCACTTCATGTTAGCACGCAAAAGGAGAGCTTCCTGATTTTCAGATATTCAAATGTGGAAACAGTGAGTTCTTGAGGAAATGGAGGCCCTTTCCCTCAACGCCTCTAACACTGCCTTGGTCAACACAGCTCAGAGAAAGACAGAGTAACCCAAAGGGTTTGTCAGTGTCATATAAATCTGATATAATTTCAGGACAAATCCATATTTAATATAAAATTAAGTTTTCTTGAGGATTTATTTATGATCTTTGGAAACAGTCTCCTGTAGCCCAGGTTAGCCTTAACTCCTGATCCTCCTGCTTCTACCTCCGTGGTGCTGGGATTATATCTTTTTTTTTTTTTTAGGATTTCTACTTCACACCAAGACCAATAAGAAGCACTGACTTATTCTCTCTTGTGAAACTGGTGAAGGAAACCTGGCCTAACTTATGTGCTTACAGACTATGGACATGAGGCATTGAAGGACAGTGAATCTGGGATGTGGACACCAGCAAGGCAAGCCTCAGGGGTCACATGGCTGCTTAAGCAGCACAGGAAGAGGGCGTGGGTGAGCTGAGCAGTCTCACCTTGCTGAGGAAGGTCTGAGAGCACAGGATGAATAGGGCACAGGATGAATAGGGCAGCTGAGCCTGGGAGACAGAGTCTGAGAAGGGTGAGAACTGAACCTGGGAAAGCCTAGAAACATGCAGGGCTTTGTGAGTGGGCAAACACCCCAGCCTACGATCAGGGCATCTGGGAGGTGAAACCATCCAATACAGGGAAGAACCACCCAGAACACTGGAGGGCAGTGAGGCTGCGGAAAGGGCCTGGACCAGCCAGGCTGCAAAGCCTTTTCATTCTTGGGACTTGGGGAGTGCATGGCTCCGTCCTTGAGAATAATTAGCCCTAGATTAAATGTGGCTCAATTTCATCTGGCAAACTGCGAATACTTAACTTGAAGGGATTAAATTATGTCCAGTTAACTCTGCCACATCCCAGGGATGAAGCTCAGGAAAATTAAAAATGGCATCAAGAGATAAGAAAACACACTGCAGGGGATTAAGGGCAACTTGGCATTTCAGGAAAAAAGGCGAAACATTTAAAGGAACAGCAATAGGAACTACACAAAAGGAAACAGGAAAGTATTTTTTAAAAGCTTTATTTTAGGTGTGTGTTTTGTCTACATGTATGTATGTGCACTACATGCATGTCTGGTACCCACAGAAGTCAGAAGACGTTGGATCCCCTGGAACTGGAGTTATATGTTGTGTGATATTTTGTTTGTGTTCTGACAAATAAAGCTTGCCTGGAGATCAGAGGGTGGAGCTAGCCACTAGTTAACCATAGAGGCCAGGCAGTGGTAGCAAACACCTTTAATCCCAGTATTTGGGAGGAGGAAGCAGGAAGATCAGGAGTTCAAGGCCACTCTGGGCTACAGCGTGATTGAACAAGTCTAAAAGAGAAACAGAGCCGTATGGTGATATTTTATTTGTACTGAAATGTTATTTTAATTTTATGTTAATAAATAAAGTTGCCATGGGGTCAGAGCTATTAGAGCCATAGCAAGAGCGTGATGGTTAGAAGAGCTAGGTAGATTTCTCTGTGTTCAGGGATACAGCCAGTATT